GGTCACAAAATGGCTCGCCCAAGTGAAGAGGAAAGAATCGCCTACGTTTGTCTCTCGTTTGTTGCTTGGTTTAGTGCATGTTCATTCAAGGGCAATCTTGAGTCGATGAAGAGGGACGCAGTCAGATGTGGTTTCATGCATGGCTCAAGTCAGCGTCAGTGTCAGATTCAGAGTCAGACGCAACTTCGGGGGGTATGGGTCTGTTGGTAAGCGCCAGACCAGGTCAGGTCGGTTCAAACGTTTGTCGGTGTATGAGCGGGTAGCTTGTCAGAGTGCGATTGGTTTCAGGTTCAGATTCAGAGTCAGATTTAGATTCAGTGTGCAGCTCAGAGCTGCCATGATTTCCCCTGAAGAGAAGCGCAAGCGAGTCACTGATCGGGCGGATGTGGACCTGCAGTTTGTTCTCCAGCAGTCAGATGTGGACCTTGACACACAGTATGCAATTGTCGAGCATTTCCCAACGCTGCGCAGGTTTTCGGCGATGGGTGACAGCAGGCAGGACATCCGGGATACCATGCAGAAGGATTTTGCCATAGATGCTGCAGCAGACTTGCAATCGCGGGCAACTGTGGCTTCAGTTATTTGTGCCTGGGAGTCTAGCAAGGAGTACGTTACAAAGGAAACAGAGCTGAAAACGGAAGCAAGAGTTTTGGGATTGAGCCGGGTGCTACAGCAGTCTGAACGTCGGGCTATGCTGAGTGCGGTGGAGACTGCATATGGGCGTCAGCAAGATGCGGAGATGCCTTCAGCGGAATACTTGGCGGCCAAGATGGAAGAGGCAGAATCCAATGAGCCGCAGGCGAGTGCACTGGACGAGATCACACCTGCGAAGGACAGCCAGGCATCTTCGATTCAGAGCGTGGTGGACAGTAGTGGCCATTTGAGGATCACCAAGCTCAAATCAAAGGGCAAAGCACCTCGCACGACCGAGGAGTACAGGAATCTGCTCAAAATTGAGGCTAATGCTTGGTTGGCCGTAGCATCACGGCATAAAGCAAAGGCATGGCTGCATGGGATCACTCCTGCGGTATTTGAGCAGTTCGTAGCTTACATCCTCGGTGATCGAGTTAATTTGCTGGAGATTCCTTCAGGGGCAAATGCAGATGGCCATAGCAATCCAGTGCGTCCCCCGTGGCACATCGTTTTAACCTATGAACACAAGCTCCGCAGGGAAGCCATGAAGCTGGTCAACAAAGATGGTCAGCCTCTGTGTGAGGCCATGAAGTCCGTCATCAAGGATGCAGATCTGAAAGAAGCCTTTTTCACCACGCCCGTGGCTATGTATTTGGCTGATTCAGGGCCAAACAAGTGGCCGCGTTACAACAGCAAGGGATCAGATTCTGGATTCCATGGTGCAGGAAAGGGTTTCAAGGGGCGTGGCAAAGGAAAGAAGGGCAAGATGTCCAAAGCCTATCACAAAGGGCAATCCTTGGTATCACATACGCCTGATGGTCGTGAAATTTGCTTTGCCTTCAATGCCCAGGGCTGCCGTGGTTCGTGTGGTCGGGTGAATGTGTGTCGGGTTCAGGGATGCTATTCACCTGATCACGGTGCTCGTGAACATGACAAGGCGGTCAAGTCCAAGCCCAAGGAGTGACGGTTACACGGGGCTCCCGCGGGGCCCGATCAATCTCCGCGGCTGCACGTCAATGTTCTTTACCTGTTTTGTGGGCAGAAGCGCAGGGCAGATCTGGGCCAGTGGCTTCGCAGGCTATCTCGACAGTTTCACACAACAGTCCACTTGCGTGAGGTAGACATTTTGTTGGACCCGCAGTTGGACTTGAGCACAGAGGCTTTGTGGGCATCTCTGGAGACCGAGGTGCAAGCTGGGCGCTGGGATGTGATCATCGTGTCCCCTCCTTGCAACACTTTCAGCCGAGCCAGATTTAGACACAAGATTTCACCGGGGCCTCGACCGCTTCGAACGAAGCAATTTATTCGGGGGTTCCCATGGGCGAGTGAAGCAGATTTGCAGCTCCTTCGCTTGCATAATTATTTTGCAGACGAGTATTCACATTTGTCATCTTGCGGCCAGGGCAGAAAAAATCTTCCTTTTTGAGCATCCAGAAGACTTGGGTACTACCCATGGTGAGCGACCGGGCACAGTTTGGGATTTTCCTGCGATGCGGTCGTTGTCTGAGACGCCTGACTTCCGCACTGTAGCCATTTTTCAGTGTTGGTTCCAAGCACCGTCGCCAAAGCCAACTAGATTGGCCACCAATTGTGATTTGCCAGCAGATTATGTTTTCTCTGGATGGCCTCAACTCCACCCAACAACAGGGGTGTATGAGGGGCCTCTGCCAACGTCTTGTGGACATTCGCAGCATCGGATGCGTTTGGTGGGCCGCGGGCCTGATGGAGGTTGGACCACGTCGCCGAGTGCTGCTTATCCTTCCCAGTTGTGTCAATTTTTGGCCTCGTCTCTCCTTCGCTATGTTTCTCGCCGCAAGGGGGGATCTGGAAGGAGAGGCGAGTCCACTGGAGAAGCAGTCGTTTTGAATGAGCAGGACCAGGAGAAAGCAGTGCACATAGCTGAGAGCTCGGCTGAGAGCTCGGTGGAGTCTGTTTCAGAGCCCTCTCCATGTTGCAAGGTTCAGCAGGATGAGCAGCGTGATATCCAGATGATGGGCAGTCAAACGGCAGCCTCAAATGCCGATGGGGGGCAGACAGAGCATTCAGATGAGCAGTTTGACCCCGCTGTTGTGGGCTGTCTGGGCCCCCCCTTGTCAGTGGACTGGGACGGAAGAACGAGAGAAATCATCGATGGTTTTGGGCTCTGTTCCCCTAGCAGGTGGCCCCTGACAGAAGGTTGGTGACTGCCAGTGAAGGAGTATGGAATATTTCCGAGAAGCTGCATGACTTGCTGGAGGGTTTTATCAGGGAAGAAATCCCGGATTCTAGGCGTTTGGCCTTTGAGTTGGCATTGGGCAGGTTCACATCATCTCCTTTTCGCAGTGGTTCTATTGAGAAGTTGAGGAGGTCTTGGGCCAATCTGGTGGGGATTCAGGAGGAGGAGATGCGCCCGGAGCCCGGTCAGCCATTTTTCCTGAAGGCATGTGCAGCTACTCTTCGCCTGATGGAGGATCCCGATTGGGAGGTCCTTTCTGGGGGTTCCTGTTGGTTATGGGGAGAAGGACACCATTGCGAGGGTTCCTGATGTGTTCCCCCTAAAGACGAAGACGCGTACTCCAGATGATGATACTGACTTCAACCCGACTCCGGACAACCACCTTTCGGCAAAGGAGAATGCAGAGGCGCTGGAGAAGTCTTTCAGAGAGGAAGAGCGAGAAGGCAGAATGTTTGTAACCACTGAGGGCGCCTTGAAGCAGGATTTCCCTGGTAGGCCGCAATGGGAGCTGTCCCCAAACCTGATGGGGGAGTGCGGCCAGTTCATGATGGGACACATTATGTGCATCTCAACCAAGGCATCAAGATGGTAAACCAACTTCAATGCCCAGGTGCCGAGGAGGCTGGGACGATGGTGCAGTTGGCCCATGAATCTGGGGAGGCTGTCTTCGCTATGTCAGTGGATGTGAACAAAGCGCATAGACGGGTCTTGTATAGGAAGGAGGACTACCCCCTCTTGTGTTGCAAGGCAGACAGCTCGAAGAAAGAAATCTGGGTCAACACGGTTGGCACTTTTGGAGTGACATCTACGCCCTTTTGGTGGTCCAGGCTATTTGGATTGTTGATGAGATTGCTTACGCGGGCTATGCTGCGTGAACCCTTCTTCCATATGGTTTATGTGGACGATGTGCATGGATGTTTCATTGGGCCTAGGAAGTTCACATGCTTGCTGATGTGGCTGCTTGGCATGGAAATGTTGGGCCTCCCCTTTTCCTACAACAAATTCCAGGGTGGCTTGCAAGCTGGTTTCGTTGGCTATTTGCTGGACTATCGCGAGGTGCGTGTCGGCATCATTAAGCGGAGGGGGGATTGGCTTATTGGCTATGTGGATGCGACAGAGGAGTCAAATCTGATGGTACAGATGCGGCATTTCGAGGAGTTTGTGGGAAGGCTCTCTTTTGTGTCGCGCGT